ATAGTATGAAATCAATGGCTCATTTTTAGATCTACTTGCAAAATGCAACAGCTTAATACACTAGAAGTTAATAAAATGTTTCTAGAGCTGATTGCGAAACTGGCATAGTTTAATTAAAGCCAATAAATTCAACTGTTTTGTAGCGTACTAAATCAAAGATCTTCTTGAACGAGATTTTAATTTAATAAAGTTGAATGCTCCGATACTCTAGCTATGTATTATGAATATACCGAATGATCAAATACAATCATTATTGATGTTTAACGGCAATGAAATACGAGTAGCCTGTATGTTGTATAGAAGTGACAATTGCCTTTGCAACCCTACTAATTTGGTTGAAAATGAAGTCAAACCTATACTTGAGTCTTAAATGTGCAGTAAAATTTGAATGTTTATTAAAACTTAGGGGACAAGCTGTGTACAAGATATAAAAAATATTGTTTTAAATCATCTTAAGATCACGAATGTGAACACTTACTGTACAAATCGGTTACACTAAGGTAGATAAATCGATAACATGCTATCTTCAAACTGCAGAGTCAAATATCTACATACTTTAAATATTCAATTATTGAATAAAACTAAGCGCAACGATTCAAAAACTTCGCCAATTTGGAAAATCAATGCTATTTGGCACTGTATGATATTACATTGCAATATATTAACCAGGGGAATTGTCTACTTTAGACTTCAAATTTGGGGTATCAGACTGTATGACGTTGATGTTTTCGCAACAGTCTCACAGAGCGTTAGGAAATACTTCCCTATCATTTAGAGCTTGTTACTAGTGATTTGATAAATGGTGCCTTAGGCTTAATACAAAGACATTTGATGTCATGCATATGCATGACATCAACATTTACATACACGTTTAAAAACAATTACACTTCTCATTTAAGGATGAAATATGACTGAAAACTGAAACATGAATATCCATTGCTATTTCGGATACTGCATACACGTTGGATATTTTATGTTGCATGCGTTGCTTATTTAGTTCCTAAACATGATGATAGAGCCATATCGTACTTACTTGCTTCCTTCGACGTATGTTAATAATGACCTATTTGCATTC